TTCTTATCGGTTTAGCTTTTGATGTTTAGTGTTAATTATTTAACTTTGTTATTTTATCATCTTTTAATGTATATTATCTGTCACTTATCTTTCATCGTTTTTTATTGTTTAATCGTATCGCCTTTCTATCTTTTTTTCTTTGGATTACTATTTAATATTTTATTAATCATCATAATATCGGTAGGCCGATATTTGTAAGATTTTATCAACCAGTTTTATATCTTATAGCCGATTTTTGGTTGGTTGTTTTTTTATATATCATCTTCATATCGTCCTATCATATAAAAAAATTTTGACCAGTGGTAGGGAGTAAAAAGTTATATTGAAAGTTTATAGAATTAAAAGTATATTGTGAAAGAGTATTAAAAAATGTAATTGATGGAATAGATGTAATTTGGAGTTGTTGTAATGTATTTGAGGTTATATTAAGGAGTGACTGTTGTATATTTTCATTATTTTTTGAGCATAAAAGTATATGAAGAGTATCTTCTATTATAGAGCATTTGCAACAGCTATTTGTTGTATAAAGATTAGGATATCGGATTTTGAAATTTTGCATAGTTGGTAGATTATTTGTAAGAACTTTAATATAGAAGGAGTATTTTGAAGAGCAATATTTAAGAGAGTTGAGAATTTTGAAGGTGAGATTCTAATTTATATCAAATGTATAATTGTTAAAGAATTTAAGAGAAGTCCATAAGAGAAGTTCTTGAATTGTAATATTGCTTTTGATAAATGAGCAAATTTTGAATGTTATTGTATAATTATACCAAAGGAAGTGAGTAGGGAAGTTAAAGTATGAGTAAAAAATTTCTATAATTGGTTTGGCTGTGCCGCGTTTGGCTAAGAGGTCCGCTTGGTTATGAAGAGAGCTAGTTGAATGTGATTTAACTTTAATAGGGTTAATAGAAATATTTTTAGTTGTTAGAAGTGAGTTGATAATAGAAATAATATTCCAGTTTTTTTGTTGGATAAGTTTATAAGATGTAAAGCCTGATAGGCTTTTAATTGCTGAGAAGTTATCCATGTAGATGGTAAGTGTAGAATTAATTGGTAGAGTAAGAAGTAGGGGGATGGTTGCTATTAGTTCTGAACGAGTAGAATCGGGAGAAGGTGAGATTGCTGCATTGAAATTAATAGAGGGGTTGTTTTCACAAATCCAGCCTATGCCAGTTTGTATATTAGATGTTTTGGGATTTTTAATAGAGCATTAAGTATAAAATTGTAAGTCAGTTATATTTAGATTCAGGATATTGTTATGTAATTGAGTTAGATGGTTTTGATAGTTAGGTGTTTTGATGATATATTGTATAAGATGTATTTCCTGAGAGGATAGATTAATTTGAGGTTGGTGTAGAGATGGTGGAGTAATAGTAAGGTTTTTAGATATATTAATTATAGCGAGGATCTCTTTATAGTCTATTTGTAAAAATAGTTTTTTAAGAATAATTCGTTTATATGGTAAATTGATAAAAGTTGGGTTGAATATTGTATTATTAATTTCAGTTAATTCTGTGAATCCTAAGAATGTTTGATCTGTTTGTTTTATAGTTAATAAGGTTATTTGATAGTAGATAGTTTGAGAGTTTAGTTGATTGGCAATTATATTTGGATTATGTAGTGGAAGTCGGTAGGGAAAGAATGAATTTGCTGAAGATATTAGATTGGTAGTATTAATGAAGCAGTTCATTGGAGGCAGTTGAAGATGGGGCCATGTAGTTTGTATAGAATTTGATTGTATATTTTGTAGAAGTTGTGTGAACTAGTGAGGTTGACAACCTCTAGTTGCTTTGTTTGTACGAAGGTAAATATTGTTCCAAGGTAGTAAAAAATTATTATTTGCTGTTGTGATTTGTTTAATAAAGAGAATTTTGTTGTTTTTGAGACTATTGATTGTAAGATTATCAGGAGGTGTTGGAAGTACAGTCAGACCTCCCTAAATGCACGTTGCCGGGACCAGCTCTGGAGCATGCATTTAGAGAGGGTTGCAATTAGAGAACACTAATAAAATCATAATGTTACTGTTATTATATAATAAATATAACTTTAGTAGCCTAGAAATGATGAATTTGATTGGCTAATAATCATGTGGTTGCATTTATGGAGAGAGTTTATATAAGTGGGCCAGACAATTAGCGTGCAATTGCAGAATAAAGAACGTGCAATTATCTATAAGTCCCATTATGGGGCTAGTCTTCTATCATGCATTTAGAGAGATATTGCATTTAGAGGGATTGTATTTAGGGAGGTCTGACTGTATTTTTTTTTTAATGTGGCAGTCCTAAAAAATAATTTCCTTTTTTAAAGGATATCTAAAGTGGAGGCAAATCATGTGATCAACGGGTTTCAGGCTAAAGATCACTGTAGATCCTTTTCAATTTAATTCCGGAGCCAAAACATTCAATTTTTTTAAACTTCTAGCAAAGATTTCTCAGTAACCGTTTGATCAAATTGAGTAAAGTTTTTTTATTTTGATTATATATATTCGTAAAATTAAAATAAAAAAAAGTTCATTGAATTTGGTTTAATGGTCGTTGAGAAACCTTTGCTAGAAGTTTTTAAAAAGCTTGAAATATCTTGGAAAAAAATTAAAATTGGCAAAATTTTTACTTTTAAAATTTTAAACAATGATTTCTCAACAACCATATATCCAAATTAAATGAATTTTTTTTATTTTGATTTTGCAACTATGTAGGATTTAAAATAAAAAAATTTTTATCGAATTTAAATAAATGGATATTGAGAAATATCAATTAAAAGCTAAACAAAATTTGGCCACAGCCTTTTCTTTATGGATATCTAAACTTTTAACAAAGATAACTCATCACTTACCTGAACAAATCCAATCAAAATTTTTTTATTTTAATTCTATGAGATTGCAAAATTAAAATAAAAAAAAATTGATTGAATATAATCAGATAAGTGCCGAGTAATATTCGTTCAAAATTTAGATATCTGTAAAAAAAAAAAAAAAAAAAGTTGCAGCCAAATTTGTTTTAGCTTTTAATCAATATTTCTCAACAATTGTTCGCTCAAAATTCAGTAAATTTTATTTATTTTAATCCTGCAAAATTTCAGAATCAAAATAAAAAAAATATATTGATTTGGATAGATGGTTGTTAAGCAACCGTCGATTAGAGTTTAAATAAATAATTCATTCTTTTTCTTAAATTGTTTTACAAAACTTTAAACGGCGATTTCTCAACACCTATATATCCAAATTCAATGAAATTTTTTTATTTTTATTCTGCAAGAGCGTAGAATTAAACTAAAAAAAAAATTATTGAAATTGTTTGGATAGATGTTGAGAAATATCGATCAAAAGTAAAAAAAATTTGGCTGCAGCTTTTTTTTTTACGGATATCTAAATTTTGAATGAATATTACTTGGCACTTATCTGATCATATTCGATCAATTTTTTTTTATTTTAATTTTGCAATCTCATAGAATTAAAATAAAAAAATTTTGATTAGATTTGTTCAGGTAAGTGATGAGTTATTTTTGTTAAAAGTTTAGATATCCATAAAGAAAAGGCTGCAGCCAAATTTTGTTTAGCTTTTAATCGATATTTCTCAATATCCATTTATTCAAATTCGATAAAAATTTTTTTATTTTAAATCCTATATAGTTGCAGAATCAAAATAAAAAAAAATTCATTTAATTTGGATATATGGTTGTTGAGAAATCATCGTTTAAAATTTTAAAAGTAAAAATTTTGCCAATTTTAATTTTTTTTCAAGATATTTCAAGCTTTTTAAAAACTTCTAGTGAAGGTTTCTCGACGACCATTAAACCAAATTCAATGAACTTTTTTTTATTTTAATTTTATGAATATATATAATCAAAATAAAAAAGCTTTACTCAATTTGATCAAACGGTTACTGAGAAATCTTCGCTAGAAGTTTAAAAAAATTGAATGTTTAGGCTCTGGAATTAGATCAGAAAGGATCTACAGTGATCTTCAGCCCAAAACCCATTGATCACATGATTTGTCTCCGCTTTAGACATACCCAAATTAAGCAATTTTGCGTAGCACCAAACGCTAATGATTGCTTTTAAGCACTAATGATACTACCGATCGCAATGATTGAAAGAATCGAATCATCCTGAGAATGTAAATAGATGAATCACAATTATAAACAAAGGCCCTTTTGGCCCTTGGGACGAATAACTCCCACTTTTGCTTTTATTAAATCACTTAATCATACAATTGCTTTTCATATATCTTACAATTTCTTATGATAAATCATACAAGTTGTTTCTAATAAATCATATACTCATTTATCAAACCGAATATTTGATAAATACTCTCATTACCAATCGCCACGAAACTATAAAAGATACAAGTTCTGACCCTAAACTTTATTATCCGCTCGTCCAAATCTAACATGCCTTTTTTGACCCAACGTAATCTAATCTTTGGTTACACAACTCTTACTTGACAGACTCACCGATTTTGGATCTGACAACGTGTTTTTGAAGAAAATAAGACACTATCTGTCATTTTTTCCTTGTCTCCTACCTCTGCATCTTCTAAAACACAAGAATTATTTTGAGACAAAGGCGGATTTAAAACAAACTGAAGGGTGTATATAAAAATAAAAATATAAATTATAATTTATCAGATTTTTCGCAATAATTAAAATGAATTAATATTTTTGATCATTAAAAGCTGCACCCACAAGGACCAACTTTTCGTCTACCAATAAGGTTTTGGCAGCCTACTCCATAATGCTCAGTCTGCCTGAACAGAATGAGATGACTTTCCCAATAATAAAAAAGTTACATGTGGACTCATTTGAGGCTTACCTTGGCGCATATTACATTTCTTGTGAGAAGCAAGCAACATATAAATTAATGGTGCCCCTATTTGATCTTAACATCCAAGAAACGACATTGTGTAATTTAAGCCATTTGCTTAAGATCACAGTTGGATATTTTTTGATGACATGGTTCGGTGACATCATGAATTTGTTTTTATGCAGAATTATGTAGAATTTTTATGTAGAATTATTGAAATTTTTATGTAGCTTTATAAAAACTTTATAAACCTAATGTAGATTCATATAGTTATTTATATAAAATGTCTAATACAATTATGTAAATAACAAAATTTTTACTTAATATTTAAGATTTTAAATCTTAACTTAGGGTTTGGAGAAGCATGCTGAACATTTTTTATTTAGTTTATCGAACATTAATTTCCTTATTCACTCTTGAGAAATAGCCAAAATAAATTATGATACTGTTGTCCTCCTCTATAACCACGCAGTCCGTATCATGGAAATTGTGTGATTGTATAAAGGCTTTTACGATGATGTGCTTATAAAGAAGTATATTTTTATAAGTTTATTAGTAAAGTGTTATAGACCTTGACGTGATTATAAAAAGGGTTTTACTATGATGTGATTATATAGGAGGAAGACAGTATAATATAAATAAAATTACATAGAGTTTATATTTACATAAATAAAAATAAAATTTATATAATAATTACGCAGTTTATTATAAAAATTCTTATTACAGTATTACATATAAAAATTCCATACAATATTTATATAATTTTATAGAGTTATATAATACCAATACTTAACAAATCAGCAATTTTGGTTGTAATTTGAATAGTAACCAGAGTTATAAGTAATTGAATCTCTATTGGATTATAGTTAAAATCAGCCATAATAAGTATTGTTGCCTGTCATTCATAGTCCGATTCCTTGATAAGTACTTGAAATTGACGATGATAATTCAAAATAACTATGTAAAAAGAGTTAAAATTTTTTTTAAAAATAATCAAATCACACATATTATTTTGCAAAGATTAATCTTTTCATAATCAAAAGAACTGATTTCAGAGTTGTTGTAAAACTTATAGGTCAAATCATCACAACTTAATTATCAAGCGCATCTACAAGCTATTTACACAAATCGACCCTTAAAACTTATAAATCTCCCTAAACCAGTAAATAAATGAGTAAATGCAGGTAGAAGTATAATCTCAAAATATTATTGTCAAATATTATGTTTTAATTTATATAGTGACTCTTGATATAACGGATAGTTCAAAATCAAATTTCACAAGTCTTTATTATCGCTTGCTAATTGTAATCGTTAAACAAACTAGATTGCGAAGCTACCAATATTTTGCTATGGGCGAAGTTGGCCGCAGTATTGTAAATGGACATATATTCAAGCAAATTATTGGACATGGAAAGTCCATGGACACAATGTCCAATGCCCATGCCCATGGACATGTTCATATTTTTACATATTTTTGTATGTCCATGGACAGTTTATGTCCATGTCCATTGACAACACTGGTTGGTCGTACTGCTTTATTCCGGCTAAATTCCAACGAATTTTGCCTAAAAGCTCTGTAAAAAATGATATAGATACCAGTGTTTGAAATTTGTGTTCTCAGAGTTCTCATGAGAACACAATTATAAATTTGTGCACTGTATAAATTTTTTACTGTTCACTATTAAAAATTTTTTGAGAACAGTAAAATAATAATCGTGTTCTCATATAAGTATATAATAGAAAACTATAATATTAATACACAAAGTTAAATGCTAAATATATTACATTCAAAAATTCCAATATAAAGACAGTTATATTAATTAAGAAATACATATATGCACTTCAAAATCAAATTGGTATTGTTTTTTTTTTTTTATAATCATTAAGTGTGAACAGAAATATTAGTGTGAGAACACCTATAGCTATTATACTGTTCTCATGAGAACAGTGTTTAGATCTGAAATTTCAAACACTGATTGATACGTATTCACTGAATGTCCTATGAAAATGTGTCTGAATCATCATTGAATTTTTTTTACCAATATTCGAATATGACAATATTGTAGTTAACTAAGTAAATTTTACGATTTTCGAATTAACGTTGTTTCGAGTTTTACGATATTTTTTTCGATTGGGTTGGTCTTCATTAAAGCTAAAAATTTCCCGCGTCGATGCTTTTTTCCTTTTCCGGTTAGATTTCCCTACTTCCCTGTACCTGATTGGTCTGATTTACGAAAAGCACTTTATACACGCTCGTACATATTTTTTGCTCAAAGTAGCGTCAGATATTTAATGAGATACTCGGCATACATCAATGAAATTGATATACAATTAAACTAGCGATGTGGGAACGGCCAGTGGTCCCATCTGTATAAAGCAGGTTGATAATCTAAAGATTTTCATGAATCAGCGATGTATAATATTAATTGGTGGTTTGCCACTTGTACAAAGCCGGCAGTAAAATTAAGGATTTGGGAAAATGGCAAGATTTTTCTACCACATTTCAAGTAATAGCACATCTTAAAGTCTTATTATCACTGTATTAATTTATTAGTATATGTATCATCATAATTGCATAACCAAGTATTTCATTATCTGACCTGTTAATTCGAATAAAGCAGTAATTTAGTTACACGAAATAATGCATACCAAGTTGACAAGTATTAATATTAAGCTCTTGGACAGAACCGGTTAAATTAAATTGGACAGATCAAGGTTGATCATTGACCAGTTTGTGCAGAGCCTGATTGATCGTTGACTAGTTTGTATAGAGCCCAATTACAGCTGTTTTCACAAAAATTTTAAGGGCAACTAAAATTTTTAGTTGATACGTAATTCGGCTGACTCAGCATGTTTCTGATGATCAGTACAGACCTTATGATTTGTTCCGGGATTTATGAGAACAGTGTGTAAAATTGTATAATATTTAATACAACTAAAATTGTCTATGTATAACTCTTAGCTTGCCATGTTTCTATATGTTAAAATATTCAGGTTTTTTTTTGCTCTCGATTAAACATACTAGGATTAGTTATATATCGGGCAAACAATATTTATCCTGAGCAGAAAACAAATATTTCCTAAATTATCATATCAATAGTAAATCATCTATAAAATTTTAGGGTTTAAGCTAAAATTAATCAATGTGCATTAAAGAATTTCTTTATACATTGATGTAAAAGATTTCTTTAATAGGTTAGATATCATTCAAAAGTACTCGTAAATGATCTTCTGTATTATGAGTATATGTGTATAATAAAATATTTTGTTATTCATGGGAAACTATACAAAGATGATTTTTACTCGTTTGAGATTTTATTCACAAAGTCGAATAATCAATCAAATATAAACGTATATACTACAGATCAAAATGTTTCCCAGCTTCAACGTACCCAACATTTTTTTGTGCGTGCTATTAGGCCACGCAAAGTTAATTTTTCGTTTTGCATTACATGGATTTCAAAATCCCGGTCGGTCGGTCAGATTTTTTTTTAATCTACAACTCACGTTCATATTTAAGGCCATGCAAAGTTAATTTTCACTTTGTATAACATGGAATCAGAAAATTGGGTCGGCGGTCGAATTTTTTTATCAGTTCTATCGGCAATTCCGGAAAGTAGGTCTCTATCGGTGACACCGGATTAATTTATGGGGAAAAATTAAATGGCAATGATAGAACAATTAGCACAATTGGAACTTTAAAAAACTTTTTTTTTTGAAAATTGAAAAAATGGGTCGGCGGGTAATGCAGAACGAAAATCAACTTTGCGTGGCCTTAATTCCATGTATAATATCACTTGTAAATAATCCGATCCTAATAAAATAAAGTATCATTAATAACGTTTCCCTATTAAACATATTATAGCTCAATGACCCTCATCATACTTATTTGTTATCTATCGTTGGGTTTTGTAACACAAGTTCATATTTTATATACTACGGTAGTTACAGCGTATATTAATTTTTAGTGCCTACAAAATTTCCGAAACTCGAATAAAAAAATCTACGAATTTCGAATCTCTACTACTTTTGAATCAGTGTGTCTACGCAGATAAAAATATTTTTGATGTGCTCAATAATGATGCAGCGTCATTTTACGTGAAATTAACTACAAAAAACAATTAACATTAGCAAAAATAAAAAAAGGGCTTAGTATCGTTATAGAGCATGCTAAATTAAATCTAGAAATTATAGTTTAGTTCAGAATTGAAGTTTGTAAGTACTAAATGATCGGCAAAAATTACGTAGACCTTAGGCATTGGTACATCATTATCATGTAACAATATTCGAAATTAAAAATGACTTAATTAAGTTGAATTTTTAAGATAGACTTGGTTCACTACTCAAAATCAAAAACCTCTAAAAAAAAGTTTGTTATAGAAAATTACTATTTTATAAGATCTAGAGGTTTCAGCATCGATGAAAGTTGAATATAACTTTCGTCAACTAAAACTTATATGAAAAAATTTTAGAGATTACCGAAAGTGTCAAAGCTACTATAATTGTCGAATTATTGAAAAATTATTTCAACTTTCGATACTAAGCAAAAATAATTTCGCCTAACGTTACTATTTTCCCCTTCCTTTTATTCTATTTATACCAAGTTTTTATTTAATATTATACTTTTGTAGTATATTAGTGCTTGGATTGTAGAGAAATTAATTGAATATCCAAATAATCAATGCAGGTTAAAGTTTATTATTATAAAGATTCACAGATATCAGCATGTTTGCTATTACCTTTTCTCCTTATCCAAGATAATTAAATTTTGAAATTTAAAAACTCAGAGTCTTGTTCTTGCAAAGTGTTACTTTTCTTTCTTCTGATTAATTCCAAAGATTCAAAGAAATGATCCTGCAAAATGCATCTGTTATTGTTTTCAAACTATAAGTCAAGATTATGCAAGATCCAATTCTTTCTGCGTGATGTTTTTGAAAAGTGCATTCCTCCTCCTAATTCGAAGTCATTATTTCGATAATCTAAAGAAATATGTTATTTGTAAGTACATATACTAATGCAATCCAAGACTATCAAACCGGTATTACAAATAGTAGTAGAGTATGGTTTAGTAAAGTAGTGGAGTATGCTACAAAAATCGCATTTGAGTATATAAAACTTGCATACTATACTCATAATATGTATTACATATACGTAAAAGTATAGTCGTAAAGAATTTAATTATATGTGACCTCACAAAAATTCTACTATAATTAAAATATAATAATATGTGACAGTACCTCAAAAAGAATTTTGAAGTGTTTAAAAAAATGAAGATTTGCGGGATCACAAATTAAGCTTTTACGAGATATCTTTATTATGGTGATTGTTATTATTTCAAAGTTTTTTCTCACATGCAATTATGCTGGTTACCAAGTTCTTTGAGAATTGTTTTTTGACAAATCCAATGTTTTTTTTGTCTTGAGATGGTAACATAGAGTTGTTGTGCTTTATAATGTAAAAAATATTTCTGAACTTTCTATTTCAGGTGAAGATCTAGAAGTTTCTTGGAAAAGAGCCCGCAGAAAACGAAAAAATTTTCATCCTCAGAAGAGCTACTAATCGATAGGATAGATTCCACATCAGAAATAATCTCATTTGGAATAGACATTTTTAAAAGCGATTTTAAAAAAGAAAAAAGATTATTGTTATAATCATTGAATTTCACTATTTTAATAGCCATATTGGACTTCGGGCTTTTAAACTATCAAATGAACATTATAAGCTCTAAATATCAAATTGGACACGATATTTTAAGTTAAAAGCCCGATATATGACTTTTATTTAAAATTGCATTTGCATAAATTATATATACGTTTGCATACTATACACGATATATTAATTTATACGTAATAGTAACCTAATCAACTATACACACGTGTTTGCTAATTTAACGTATTAAACTCCACTACTATTCGTATTACTCCTCTAAGTGCTGTAAAAAAAAAAAAAGGAGAATTAGTATACGAAATTCTCCTGATACTCTATAACCATATTTCACACTTTCAATTTTGCTGGTTAATTTCACGATTCGTAAAAATATGTCCAAGAATACTTACTGCTAACACTTTTTGACTGTTCCACGATTCGTAAACAAATTCAAAAATGTCAGCCTTCATAACATATTGATAAAATTTTACGATTTGTATAAATAAATACCAGATATGGTATGGACCCGCAATCGAAAGCATATCATATCAGTACTTTTTTTAAACAGTTTGAGGAAAGTTCATAACGATCTCTCTTGCAGGACCAGTAGACCTCAAAGCTGTCAAAAAAAAAGCATTATACTTATTTTTTTGTGTCGTTTGTTTCAACATCCAACCATAATTTATCTGAGTTGTGTATTTCACTTATTTGTTTTAAAAAGGTGGAGGTAATTATTGTAGATTTAAAAAGTTTAAAAGGTAAATAATAAAATAATACAGTAATATCAGTACTAGTACGTCATCGTATTTATCAGGAAAACAATAGTAAAATTGATGCCAATTAATTGGCTAGCTTATGTTGATCAAACCAGTTTGTTGATTTTCCGCATTATTTTTTTCAAAAAATTTAAACAAAGACATCTTGACACCGCATAATCTGTATATAAAAACTACACATTTCCTGACTTAATTCGTTTCAAATACAAAATTTTTATCAAAGCTTCAAACCCATTTCCTGACTTAATTCGTTTCAAATACAAAATTTTTATCAAAGCTTCAAACGAAAGTTGGTTTAATCTCTATTTGATAGACATTTTTTGAAACCTTGAGTGAAGGTAGCTCGATAATTACCTGATCAAATTCGGTGTAAATTATTTTTATTCAGACAATAGAAAAATTATCAGATAGCTTAGGCTACGCAAAGTTAATTTTTTGTTTTGCATTACATAGATTTCAAAATTAACGGTCGGTTGGCAGAATTTTTTTTTTAATTTACAATGATTAATAGCATATTTAAGGCCATGTATAGTTAATTTTTGCTTTGCATAACATGGAATCAGAAAATTGGGTCGGCAATCGATTTTTTTTTTACAAGTTCTATTGTACAATTCCAGAAAATAAGGTCTCCATCGTGTGGTACCGAATTAATTTATGGGAAAAAATTAAATGGCAAAAATAGAACAATTGGCACAATTGAAACCTAAAAAAAAAAAAAAATTTCAAAAAATTGAAAAAATGGGTCGGCAGGTAATGCAGAATGAAAAATTAATTTTGCGTGGCCTTAATTACTTTAGAACTAATCGATGGAAATATAAAGTATTTTGTCTTTGTATGCCTATTTATTCTTTGGCATAAACTCAATTCAATATCCAAAACTAACATTAAAAAAAATCAAAAAAAAACTATTTTGGCATTTGGTAATGACATCAATCATCTCCGAAACCAAAAAAATTGGAGCAGCTATATCAGTTCTTAATAACGATATTAACAGAAAATTTGATAATGCTATATCAGCTCTTAGTAACAAAATTAGTGAAATATGGTAAACATTTCAAACTAAAACTGAAAAAACCAAAAAAGTTATTTTGACATTTAATAACGACATTAATAGCAATGCTATATTGGCTCTTATTAAAACAATCTCTAGATTTATTTTTTCTTTAAGAATTTACACAATAGAAGTTTTATATCACGTATCTAACTATTTTTTGATCTATAATTAATCATATATGTACATCAATCCAATCTCTATGCAAGATTCAATGTGTTTTTGCGAAGTGTTTTCTTAATGATTTTCCTCCTTGTGGCTCAACATCTAAATATCTAATATTTAAAACCTCTAGTGTAGTGTTCTCGTAAAGTGCGCGTGCTAATTCTTTTCCTCCTTCTTCGCCTAAATGATTTCCTCCTTCTAACTCAATACTGTTATTACTAAGATTCAAATTTTGTAGCGTATTGTTCTTGCAAAATGTCTCAGCTAACGCATTTCTACCTTCTGATCTAAGATCATTATGTTCAAGGTTCAAAGAAGTCAGCGGTTTGTTCTTAGAAATAGCACCGGTTAATACTACTCCGCCTTCTGATCCAAGATAATTTTGATGAAGATTTAAAGAAGATAGCATGTTGTTCTTGGAAAGTGCATCTGCCAATGCTTTTATCCCCTCTCCGAACCCAAGAACATTATTACTAAGACTCAAAGAAGTCAGAGTGTTGTTCTCGCAGAGTGCATTTGCTAATGCTTCTACTATACCTTGCTCAAAATGATTGGAGTTAAGATCCAAAAAAGTCAGCATGGTATTCTTGCGAATCCATTTGCTATTTCTTTTCCTCTTTCTGATTTAAGATAATTCTAAAGAAATTAACGATGTATTCTCGTGGTGTGCACCTACTAAAGCTTTTCCACCTTTTGGTCCAAGACAATTATCAGCAATATTCAAAGAAGTCAATATATAGTTCTTGCAAAGTGCATCAATTAAAATTTTTCCCCTCTTGGTCCAAGATCATTGTTTTCGAGATTCAAATCTTTTAGGGTATTGTTCTTGTAGAGTGCACTTGCTAATTCTTCCCCCTTTTAGATCCAAGATTATTATTAGCAAGATTCAAAGTAATCAGCGTAGTGTTCTTACAAAGTGCACTTCCTAATGATTTCCCCCTTCTGGTCCAATATCATTATTACTGATATCTAAGTAAGTTAATGTTGTGTTCTTGCAAAGTTCACTTGCACTTTCTGATCTAAGACTGTTAAGATGAAGTTTCAAAGTCTTCAGAGTATTGTTCTTGCAAAGCGCACCTGCTAACGCTTTACCACCTTCTTGTCCGATATTGTCGAAAGATATTCTATTTCGATTAAGATCTAAAGAAGTCAGAGTAGAATTCTTATAAAGAATTTTCGTTAATCCATCTATTGCCTTAAATTTAAGATCATCACTAATATTAATAGGAAGATCTAAATGAATAGAGATGACAATAGTGTTCTTACAAAGATTTTGAATAATTAATATAATTAATTGATCGCAAATAATTTCATTAAGACTTAAATGCTTGAGATTCCTGCCAGTTCGAAGGAACATCATAATTAAAGAAAATTCTATAGCATTTTCACATTCTCTATTATTAAACATTATTCTAATTCTCTCAAGTAAACAATTGTCAACTGATTTGATATATTCAAATAATAGGTTTGGGCGTTTTGGGATTTTAATATTAAAAAGGACGTGATAGTGCCCGTTCTTTGGCGTTTAACATTAAGAAGAGTGTTTCTATAAATCTTCTATCATTAAAACGATATGTCAGTTCGCTCCATAATATTGGTAAAATAATTTCGAACCACTGATGGTTTATTAGAGCACAGAGGGTAATTTTTTATAATTATGTCTGAGTTCATTAAAAATTTGGTAGTAAAGAGGTCAGGCTCTGATGAGATTGTCACTGTTCATTCCCCAGGTAAAAGATTCATTTTTGAGAATACTAGGATAGTGCTACGAAAATTCGTAGCATTATATAGCTGGAGTGTTTTGTTACACTAAATTAGTCGTGTTGGGGTGTCCAATGTACTATTGCTATGTAGATCAAATATATATAGTCTTACTGTATTATATAATACACGGCAGTGTTACACAAGGAGACATGACAAATGTTATGAGACAAACAATCTGGTTGGCTACTGCTATAACACATGATTCCTATTATTGTTGCACAAATTTGAACATAATACGTATCGATGTTAAAATTGAATAGTACCCGTGGATACTGTACTGTGTGAAGAACTGGGTACATATTTGGGATATATCATATTAAAAGTAGTAAATCAATATAGGTATAACACGGGGAAATAGGATGGTAAGAAATGATGAATAATACCAGGGTTTTAATCAGAGGTCAATCGTACATTAAAATTAGTATTTACTATATATATTTTATAATAATTTCTTTGTTTTTAAATTAACTAAATATTTTATATTTGAATCCGGAGCGGTTAGATGCTAGTAAAAAATAATTAGTGCAATTTTGTGTAACATTTATGACGATCAATATTAAAATATTAAAATTTCGACAAATTTCTTTGATTTTATTAATAAAATTTTTTAACTTTCGAAAAAAACGCTCCATTTCCCTTAAATTAGAAGTCTAAAAAGTATTTAAGTGAAATTTCTAATCGAGTTCATATGTAAGATTTTGAGGAGATACGATTTGAAATTTAAAACTAGCCCCCTAATTTTATTAATAAAAATATTAATAAAAATTATTTAATTTATTAGATCCCAAATAATTTATTTAATGGTTTTCACGGGTACCCTATAGCAAAAATGTAAACCCAACATATGATTATTTATTGCTTATTTGGATATTTGATTAAATAATCGATAAATAATTTATCGGCTATAACCGGCTATTTAGCCTACGACTAAGCCGCGGCTTAGTCGCAGGGACCTGTGGATTTTGTGATTTGCCGTGATCGAAGCAAATCACAAAAATTATGTGGTTTACTGCGATTTGCTTCGATTATAGAAAATGCACTTTTTAAGCATACACGATGAAATTATTAGCAAATATAATAAAATATTTTATATTTCAATAGTTCAAAGAAATATAAATATCATGGGTTATATATTTGCGCAAAAAAAACAAATTTTTTTTTTAGTGCAACATTTTTTTTCAAAATTAGAAAGTTTTTTATTAGATAGATTTTTAAATTTTATACAAATTCGGACTTTTATTGGTAATCAGCAGTAAATCAAATAATTTGATGATATCGAAAACATAATTTGTTAAATTATATCACAAAATCCACAGGTCCCTAGTTTCTATTACTCAGTCTGGTCAATATTTAAATCCCGAAAGCAATTTTTGATACTATCGGGATTTTGAACGTCGGGATTTTAACCCAAAATTCCATTAGAAAATCCGCAATTAGTGATGATCATTATTAACCCTGCCTAAGTTTGATTTTAATAGTCCGTTACACACCTACCTTAGCGTCCTCATCTAAATTAAGACATTCCCTCCGAAACATTCATCTTTACAATTTCTTGTTTCTACCTTAACAACTCTTCATCGGGTTAGGAAATTGTCGATAATAAGCGAATGTCTTGTGTTCCACAATTTTATCAGTCTCATCATGTGCACATATTGAACGATTATCATAGTATGACGAATTTATGGTAATAAGAGGATATGGAGGATATAAAATAGGAAATGGATGAGAGGTGGATTATTCAGGAACATCGATATGGTGGCACGATTTAAAGGTTTAAGGGCATGGCGATCAGATCATGATGGTGCAGGGGTATTAATGAAAATTTTAAGGTTCAGGGTAACACTATCATGTGCTAATTATAAATTTTGTAAAAGCGAGTTATGCAATTTCAGATTGGTTATAAATATCGTACGTAAACAAATCCGTTGTTATTTGTACGTACATACGTAAATTAAATTCATAGTCTTTCAAAAATGATAAAGCTACCGAATGAATGCCTTTTTGAAATATTTAATAACTTCCAAACTGATTTTAAAAGCTTATTTTCATGCCTTCTTGTAAATCGCAAATGGTGTAGAATTATTATACCAATAATGTGGAGTAAACCAACAGACTATTTCAACTTACAAGAATATATTTTTAGAATTAAATGTTAAAGAACAAT